ACTTAAAAGAACCAAAATAAGTCCAGAAATAAACCCTTACATTCATAGTCACTTAATTTGTAACAAGGGTACCAAGACCACTGGCAGATGAAAAGAGCAGTCCTTGCAATAAATGGTGGTCAAACAACCAAATATCCATACACAAAGGAATAAAGTTGAACCCCCTACCTAACACCATATAAATATTTAACTAAAAATGAATCAAAGACCTAAATGTAAGATTACAACTATTAATATATTTAGAGGAACACACAGGTGTTAATTTTTATGAACTTGATAAAAAAGGAGGGTTCTTAGATACCAAAAATAGGGCAGCCCGGTTGGCTCAGTGGTTTAGCCCTGCCTTCAGCCCAGGGTGTGATCCTGGAGACCCCAGATCGAGTCCCATGTTGGGCTCCCTACAGGGAGCCTGCTTCTCCCTCTGCCTGTGTCTCTGCCTCTCTCTGTCTCTCATGAATAAATAAATTAAATCTTAAAAAAAATACCAAAAAACACAAAAATAACAACAAAAACAGACAAATCAGATATCATCAAAAGTAAAAACTTTTGTGCTTCAAAGGACACCATTGGGGCAGCCTGAGTGGCTCTGTGGTTAGCTCCAGCTTCAGCCCAGGGTGTGATCCTGGAGACCCGAGATCGAGTCCCATGTTGGGCTCCCTGCATAGAGCTTGTTTCTCCCTCTGCCTATGCCTCTGCCTCTCTCTGTGTGTGTCTCTCATGAATAAATAAATAAAATCGTTAAAAAAAAAAAAAAAAAAAAAAGGACACCATCAAGAAAGTGAAAAGCCAACTCAGAGAATGGGAGACAAACCTTACAAAACATTTATCTGATAAGAAACTTGTATCTAGAATACATAATGACTTCCCAAAAATCAATAAAAAACAAACATATAACCTAGTTAAAAAATGAGCAAAAATTTTGAATATACACATCTTCAAAGAAGAAACAAATGTCCAATAAGCACATCTTTAACTATCCAGGAAGTGCAAATCAAAACTACAAGGAGATACAAATTCACACCCACTAAGATGGCTATAATTTAAAAAAAAAAAAAAAACCCAGATAATAACAACTGTTGGTGAGGATGTGGAGAAATTGGAATCCTTACATGTGCCAAAATGATTATAACATGATGCAGTCATTTTGGGAAAGAGCCTAGCATATCCTCCAAAGACAAAACACCGAGTAACCATTTGGTCCAGCAATTCTACTGCTAGGTAAACATTCAGGAGAAATTAAAACATATGTCCATACATAAGAGACTCTTAACTATAGGAAGCAAACTGAGGGTTGCTGGAGGGTAAGTGGGTGAGGAGATGGGCTAACTGGGTGATGGGCATTAAGGAGGACACATGATGTGATGAGCACTGGGTGTTACATAAGACTGATGAATCACTAAATTCTACCTCTGAAACTAATAATACACTATATGTTAATTAAATTGAATTTTTTTAAAGTCCGTACAAAAACCTGTATACAAATGTTTGTAGTCTATTGTTCATAATAGCCAAATAATGGAAACAATCCAAATGTCCATTAACTGTTGACTGGACAAACTATGATGTAGTCATACAATGGAAAAGTATGTTTTAAAAATAAAACTAAATGAAATAAAAATAAATGAAGTACTGATGCATGCTATAGAATAGATAAATCTTAAAAACATTATGCTAAGTGAAAAAGCTAGTCACAAAAGACCACATATTATATGATTCCATTTATTTGAAATGTCCAGAATAGGCAAATTTTTAAAAGACAGAATGTTTAGAGGTTACCTAGGGCTGGGGAAAGCATGTTAGGAAAATGAAGAATGAATAGATAGGAAATTGCCTTTGGTTTTTTTTTTTTTTTTTTTTTTTTTTTTTTTTTTTACGATAGTCATACAGAGAGAGAGAGAGAGGCAGAGACACAGGCAGAGGGAGAAGCAGGCTCCATGCACGGGAGCCCGACATGGGATTCGATCCCGGGTCTCTAGGATTGCGCCCAGGGCCAAAGGCAGGCGCCAAACCGCTGTGCCACCCAGGGATCCCTGCCTTTGGGGTTTATAAATTTTTCAAATTGATGATGGTAATGGTTGCACAACTCTGAATATGCTAAAGAAAACCCAAAACTGTACACTCCAAATGGATGCATTGTATGGTATGTCACTTATACCTTAATAAAGCTGCTATAAAATTTTCAATTAAATATGAACTGCATAAACAACAGAGAAAAATCAATTAATCTAAAGCTGCTTATTTATTTATTTTTATTTTTTTAATTTTTTAAAGCTGCTTTTTAATTTTTTTTTTTTATGATAGTCACAGAGAGAGAGAGAGAGAGAGGCAGAGACACAGGCAGAGGGAGAAGCAGGCTCCATGCACCGGGAGCCCGACGTGGGATTCGATCCCGGGCCTCCAGGATCGCGCCCTGGGCCAAAGGCAGGCGCCAAACCGCTGCGCCACCCAGGGATCCCCTAAAGCTGCTTTTTAAAAAAGATCAATAAAATAATAAACTTCTAGCTTAGAAGAATCAAGAAAAAAAGAGAAGACACAAACTACCAGTATAGAAGAGAGGGGCATCACCATATCAATATTAAAAGGATAATAAAGAAATACTTTAAGCACATTTATTGCAACAAATTTGACATTTTAGAAGAAATAGACAAAACCAAAACTGACACAAAAAATATTTTTTAAAAAACCCTGAACAACCCTGCATCATTTGAATAAATGAAATTAGTCACTTAAAATGTTTCTACAAAAAATATCGTAGTTGCAGATGGGTTTACTGGTAACATTTATCCAAATCTGAGGAAGACATAATAGTTATCTTACTGAAAGTTTCAGAAAATAGAAGGAATATTTCCCAACTCATTTTGAATCATTACCCTGATGATAAAGCTATTACTAAAATATAAAAAAAAATAAAATTAAAAAAAATTAAAGACCATTATTTCTCCTGAACCTTGCTGGAAAAGTTTCTAATCAATTCCAAATTGCAACATATAAAAAAGATAATGCAGCATGACCACATGACCAAATGGGATTTACCTCAGGAGCAGAAGGTTGGTCTAACATTTGAAAACAAGCAATGTAATTCACCATGTTAACTAAAAAAGAAAATCCATATGGTTCTCTAAATAAGTGTGGAAAAAGCACTTGATGAAATTTAACACCTATCATGAACAACAACAATAACAAAAAAAATTCTCAGCAAACTAGAAATAGGAAAGAACTTCCTCAACCTTTCTCTGGCTAAGAGGCATTACAGAATATTTAAATAAACACAGATACTAAACACGTATTAGAAGACAATATTGTTAACATACCAGTTCTATCTAAGTTCAAATGCATATTCAATAAAATCTCAATCAAAATACAATAGCCCATTTTGTAGAAATTGATGAGCCAATTCTAAAATTTATATAGGAAAACAAACGGCCCGGACAGTCTGCGTGGCTCAGCTAAGGTTTAGCGCCACCATCAGCCCAGGGCGTGACCCTGGGGTCCCGGGAGCCCCACGACGGGCTCCCTGCATGGAGCCTGCTCCTCCCTCTGCCTGTGTGTCTCTGCCTCTCTCCCTCTCTGTGTCTCTCATGAATAAATAAATAAATAATCGTAAAAAAAATTAAAAAGGCCTAAAACAGCCAGAACAAAAAAAAATTTTTTTAAAGACCTTATTTACTCATTCCTGAGAGACACAGAGATAGAGGCAGAGACTCAGGCAGAGGGATAAGCAGGACCCCAGGATCACACCCTGAACGGAAGGCAAACGCTCGACCGCTGAGCCAGCCAGATGTCCCAGAACAAATTTTTTTAAAAAACAAAGCTGGAATGCTTACATTATTTGGTTTTAAGGTTTACCATAAAATATAGATATCAAGACAGTGTGGTATTAATATACAGACAGATAAATAGTTCTGTCGAACAAAATAGCTCAAATACATACCTATACATATACGATTAATTAATTTTGACCAAGTCAAATATGGGAGAACAGATGAGATGGTCTTTTCAACAAATGGTGCTAGAAAAATTAAATATCTACATGGAAAAATGCATTTCAATCATTATACCATGGAAAAAATCTTTTTGAAATAAACCAGAAACCTAAAAATGAAGGTTAAAAATTGTAAACCCCCCCCAAAATAATAATAAAAAATAAGATAAAAATTATAAACCTTATAGAAAAAAATGATACAGCAAAATATAGGAAAAAGTTTTGCAATTTTGGGGAAGGAAAGTATTAACCATATGAGAAACGTTAAATAGTTATGAAAGTTGTAAAATTCCACTTTTTGAAAGACATAACTAAGAAATGAAGTTAGAGCACAACTGGAAGAAAATATTTGCAACATATACATTACAATGGACTTGAAAGCAAATTATATTAAATATTCATAACTCAGTAAGACAACCCAATTTTTAAAGAGCAAAACATCTGAACAGACACCTTGTTCTAATTACAAAATAAGATATGAGAACATCTAATTAGCACATGAAAAGCTCATTAGTCACCAGAGGAATGCAAATTGAAATCACAATGATACCACTACACACCCACTAAAATAGCTAAAATTAAACAAATGAAAACCCCAACTGAGAATATTAAGTAATTTCAACTTTCAGACGTTGCTGGTGGGAGTATAAAACGGTATGACCACTTTGTAGACCTATTTGGTTGTTTCTTGAGAAAAATGTCAGTTACCATAAGACCTAGCAGTTCCATTATTTATCCAAGGGAAATGAAAGCAAATGTCTACCAAAATAAAAACAAAAAGTTTGTACATGAATATTCAGTTTTATTCATAATAGCCCCAAACTGGAAACAACACAAATACCCATCTGTTGAATGGATAAATACAGTTGCTGTATCTATATGAGGGAATATATTACAGCAATAAAAAAAAAAAGAACGAACACTATATTTGATATATATTATATAGCAACTTGGATAAATTTCAAAACATTATTCCTTTTTTTCTTTTTAAAGATTTATTTACTTTTATTTATGATAGACACACAGAGAGAGAGAAAGAGGCAAAGACACAGGAGGAGGGAGAAGCAGGCTCCATGCCGGGAGCCTGACGTGGGACTCGATCCCAGGATTCCAGGATCGCGCCCCGGGCCAAAGGCAGGCACCAAACCACTGAGCCACCCAGGGATCCCTCAAAACATTATTCCTGAGCAAAAGAAGCCAAACATAAAATACATGCGTCAATCCTATGGTCCATTTATATGAAAGTCTAGAGCAGTCTGCAAATCTGTTGCTTGAGGCGAAGGCAGGAATTAGTATAAATGCACTAACTAAACTCTTTGAGGTGATGGAAATATTCTGCATTTTGATTTTCATCGTGGTCACATGTGTATAAACTTTTGTCATACTCAGTGAACTGTAAGGTCAGTTCTACTATAATGCTTACTTTTGACAATGTATATTTGTTATAACACAGTACAAAAAAATTACTGTAAGTTAAATTTTGACTTTGTGTGATTTCATCCACTAAAAAACACCAGATGAACACAGAAAATTGTACCCAGCTGAAATGATATGCATATATAACTTGCCAACCTTTATGCTATTATTTTCATATTTTACTTCAAACAGTCATAAACCCCACCATACACTGTTACATTTGCTTTTAAAAGGTAATTTTTTAAATGATAAAAATGAAAAAAAAATCTCATATTTTCCCACGTATTTACCATTTCTGGCATTTTTCATTCATTTGTATGGAACTAGGTTTGTAGGTTTGTATCTGGTATAATTTTTCTTCCTCTAGAAGAACTTGTAAATTTTCTTGTAATTCAGGTTTGCTGGAAATAAACCCTTTGCTTTTGTCTGCCTCAAAATGTCTTTATATTGCTCTTTTTAAAGGTTATTTTCATATGACATAGAATCTTAGATTATCTTTTTTTTTAAAAAAGATTTTATTTATTTGAGAGAGAGAAAGCAAGAGACAGAGCACAAGCAGGGGGGGCAGGGGCAGAGAGAGGGAGAAGCAGACTCCCTGCTGAGCAGGGAGTCCAACAGGGGGCCCTGTCCCAGGAATCTGGGATCATGACCTGAGCCAAGGTCAGATGCCCAACTGACTGAGCCACTCTTAGATCAACTTTTTAAAAAACCATATTAAAGTTATCATCCCATTCCTTGTTTTGGCTTGGTTTTTTCTGACAAGAAATCAGTAGTAATTCTTATCTTGATATCCCTATATTTAATGTTTCTTTTTTTCCTTTGGCTGCTTCTCAGAGCTTCACTTTATCACTGGTTCTCAACAATTTGAATATGGTATGCCTTAGAATAGTTTTCTTTTCAATTATCCTGCATGGAATTTGTTGAGTTTAAGGCAATGAAACTTGCCTTAAAATTACTGGACAATAACAACAATGTACCATATATAGCAGAGTTGGAACTTAAATCCTTAGTTTGACTCCAGGGTTTGTGCTCTTAATCACTATATTATTTTAGCAAACTACCTTAGAGAAGTACTTGCTCATACTTACAAAGACACACATAATAATTATGTTCATCAAAATGTTATATTGGAAAAAACCTAAATGTCTATCAATAGGAACTGGTAATATATATATTAGAGTACATTCATATTATGGAGCAACATACAAACTTTAAAAAATATAGTAGTCATAGAATAATGCTCTGGATATTGAGTAAAAAAATAATTGTAAAACATTAAACATAGTATAATGCGGTCGATTTTAATCCATATGCCACAGGCAATTGACTGTATACATGTGGGAACAGAATTTGTGTAAGAATAGAAGATTCACATGGAGCCACCAGAGAGGTTGGGTGGGCGATTCACAGAAAGTTTTGATCTGATTGAATCTTTTTACCATGGGAATCTGTTCATGTGTTTATAATTAACAAAATGAAAATGAAATGGACATTTCTCCCCTCCAAAAAATAAATGGACACTTTTTTCTGCAAAGAATATCTACTATGTGTCTAAAAATACTTTGAGTAAGAAATATTTTGAGCTCATAGAAATAGTTACTGATTTCACAGAAATCAGGAGATATTTAATAAAAATTCAAAGAATGAACGGGCCTTAAAGATTTATTAACCCTCCCATCAGTGCTCCTAATTCTTCCTAAATATCCATCCAAGTTGTAGTAACCTAATGTAGCACACATCTATTGGTTTTCATGCCCAACATGCAATAGCCACTTCTTTTGGTAAAAGCACCTCAATGTTCTCCTGAGGACTTTCTTTTACCCTACTGAATGCATTTTCAGTGAAATGATCAATTCTGTCTTTTCCTGACCAAGGAGTGGGTGTGTAAGCTAAACTAGGCCAAGCAGACTCTCTGCCTTGAGAACTTAAATCTTGAGTGGAATGACACAAGGTCAGAAGACTGAGCTGATTAAGTAGCTGAGGAAACTGTCCATTGGTTCCTGCTACTTAGATTCCATGAGATGCTTCCTATCCTTTCCCAATACCAGTTCCTTGGCCTTTCCTTAAGTTCTGTGAATCAGCCCAAATCCTTATGATTAATCCCGTCTCTGTTTAAGTCAGCCAGTTTCCATTGACAGTAATCATAGAATGCTAACTGATACAGCTGGATGTAAATACACTCAATAAAGAGGTTACAACTAATTTTAAGAGAGTACACTGCATTTAAGTTTTGCTTAACTTTGTGCCAGAACTTACTTCTTTATAAAATCTATATTAGTTATAGCTCTATTTCTGGAGCTTCAGAGTATCCAAGCTCCGTCTTGCAATGGCATGTATTTAAAAACTATTATCATTTATACCTAAATACTTTCTTAGCAAAAAACTCACTTTCTCAATTAAAATATGTATAACTACTTCACACTGACTAGAAATGGTTATAAGAAAAAAGACAATTCTAAATGTTGATGAGAATGTGAAGAAACTGGAAGCTTCATACCTTGCTGCAGGGAATATAAAATAAGACAGCCACTGTGGAAAACAGTTTATATGATTAAAATATTTATATAATTTAATGTTTTCAAATGGACGTTATAAATAATCACCTATTGTAATATCATCCCATGTCATGATATCCATGAAATCATGGTCTTTAGATGTTATATTTTTCTATGATACATTAAAGATACACTTAAATATTCATTTAAAATGTGGTTCACTTACTATTGAAATTGATTTCTTGTGCTGCTAATGGTAGATACTTATTGCCCTTTGGGAAACAGTTTTTTTTTTTTTATATTTTAAAAAATGTATAAATTAATTTTCATTAAACCAATTACCAACTTAGGAAACAAAAATATAAAATTTATGTAACATGTGATAAGATACAGAAAGTATTAAACCTTTCATTTAGTAAATAGTGATTGTTTCTGGTTGCCTTTTTTCAAAAGGAAGTGATTAAAGTGCTGGCAATTTGGGAGCCAAGAAGTCTCTCTTCTACTCTGTACCCAACATGACCATAAGCCACTCTATTTCAGGGAAAAAGGAGACCTCCACATAGAGAAAAGGAAAAAAAGGAAGTACGACAAAATGTTAACTGGTTATTTAAGAAATTATGGGTCATTGTTTTCTTTACATTTTTTACTGTGTTCTTTCTCCTTTGCTTCGTTTATTTAATGTTCCTCTATTTTTTTAAATAAAATTATATAGTAAAACTTTTTGTTCTTTGGATACGTTCAGATGAAAATATTATTTCAACCTATTCCTTATAATAGTTAAATTTCTAATTTTAGATTTTGATTCAAAAATAAAAATTTAAGTGAGGATACCAACTTCTTCCTTATTTTTTGAAGTACTGATATTTATATACACCTTTTTTTAAAGATTATTTATTTATTTATTCATGAGAGATACAGAGAGAGAGAGAGAGAGAGAAAGAGAGGCAGAGACACAGGCAGAAGGAGAAGCAGGCTCCATGCAGGGAGCCCAACGCGGGACTCGATCCTGGGTCTCCAGGATCACACCCCAGGCTGAAGGCAGCGCTAAACCGCTGAGCCACCCGGCCTGCCCTTCTATACACCTTCTATAGCTAATTATGTTACTAAGTTCTCAGAGCAATAGAATAGATATTTGCCCATTATTACACGAAAAAATAGATATCTGCCCAGTATTACATGAAAAAAATTAATAAAAACTGAATGCCCTCAATGGCCAGAGTAGCACACACAAAAATTGGGTTCTGAGACCTAAAACCTTCTTGTAATTATAGCTTCATTATTCTCAAGACACTATTGGTTAAGATATATGATACATGGGATTTTTCAGAATTTGCTTTTAATTACTCTAGTAGGCATAAGGACAAACTGGGGGCTGGTGGATAGATGAAAGGGATAGATGTAATTAGCACAATTGCATAATGCTGATAATTACTGAAGGTGGGTGGTAAGTAAACAGGTTTTCCTTATTTTTTAAAATTTACTGTCTGAAAAATTCTATAATAAAATTTAAAACAAAGAAAATAATTCTAAATGCACTATTTACAGTGACAACTAAAGCAAACTCCACGGTATATCCAAAACAGAATTAAAATGAACAAATAAAAAACTCATTATAAAATAAAGCTCCAAGTGGTCTATATAATAATTTTGCTTTTTTATCTGTATAGCCAAAGGAAAAAACCAAGTATTTACCAATAAACACAAGGCTATTTAAAAGTTGCATGAAAGCTTATGATCGCCACCTACTGTACACTGTTATTAACTGCTTGCTACAGAAAAACAATCACTATTGAATAAGTGCCTGCCTCCCCCCTCCAGGCAAAGCATCCGGTCCTTCATGTGATAATCCTAATACCATTAAATTCATGTTTACATGTATGTTTATATTAGTAATATTAATTAACGTTCTATTAAATAACTTCTAACAACGTGAAATGCCACCTGCAAAAAATACTTTGTCAGAAAAGCATAGTGGTATCATTTTACAATGTCCTTATTTTACAGAAGAAAGATCCTAGATTTTGAATTGTTTTCTCATACACTGAGAACGCAGAATTTAAATTACTTACACATAGAGATAAATCAAAAACCTATAAATTAGTCCTGGCTTTTTTTTTTAAGATTTTAATTATTTATTCATGAGAGACACACAGAGAGAGGCAGAGACATTGGCAGAGGAAGAAGCAGGCTCCATGCAGGAAGCCCAATGTGGGACTCAATCCCAGATCTCCAGGATCATGCCCTGAGCCAAAGGCAGTTGCTTAACCGCTGAGCCACCCAGGCATCCCAGTCCTGGCTCTTAAATTTGGTGCATTAGCTTTTTATTACCTGTTCTTAAAATTGCAACTTATTTTTTTTAAGATTATTTATTTACTCAGGAGAGACAGAGAGAGGGAGACAGAGACATAGGCAGAGGGAGAAGCAGGCTCCATGCAGGGAGTCTGATGTGGGACTTGATCCTGGGTCTCCAGGATCACGCCCTGGGCTGAAGGCAGGTGCTAAACCGCTGAGCCACCCGGGCTGCCCTAAAATTGCAACTTTTATTGCAAATTTTACTTTTTTTTAAATAACCTAGCTAATTGCATATACCAGTGATTCTTGATCCCGGTGCATCAGTATTACCTGTGACTTTTTTTTTTTTTTTTTTTTAGTAGGCTCCATGCCCACCCAACACAGGGGTTGAACTCACAACCCAGAAATTAAGAGTCACATGCTCTACCGACTGAGCCAGACAGGTGCACCTGGAGTTTTTATTTTTTTAAGATTTTATTTATTTATTCGTGAGACACACACATACACACACACAGAGGCAGAGACACAGGCAGAGGGAGAAGCAGGTTCCAAGCAGAGAGCCTGATGTGGGACTCGATCCTCGAGACTCCAGGATCACGCCCTGGGCAGAAGGCAGGCGCCAAACCGCTGAGGCACCCAGGGATCCCTCCCCTGGAGTTTTCAAATAAACTGTTGGTGGTACCATAGCCAGAGATGTTTTTTATCTAGCCAGAATTTAAAAAGCCAGTAGAAAATAACAGGGGTTCTCAAAGTGTTATCCATGAAACAGCAACATCATCACCTGGGAATTTGTTAGAAATGTACATTTTAAAGGTTCACACAAGACTGCTAAGCAGAGCCCAGAGATTCGTGATTGTGAGCCCACCAGGTGATTTGAATACAGGCTAAAGTCTGAATATCACTGGTATTTAATATAAAATTTTTAAGTTTTTAATCTCTTTAAATGTAAGATTTAATTCTCTGTTCTCTATGAAAATATGATAATAATAATGCAAAAGAGAAAGACATTTACATTAAGGGTAATCTAGTACAATTCTATTTTCTAGAAACATATCATTATAAACACTCAACATTAGTTCTAGTTAGCCAAAAGGAAAAATGCTTAATGAAAGAGTAGGGAATAATTTATCCCTTAATGTTAATAAAACCCTTGAATGTTCTTGCCTAGAGCAAATTTTCCAACCATACTTCCTTGTTCTGGTTTGTTCTGATCACAAAAGCACCTAAGACACAATTAAGACTTCTTGCCATATCATACCTTTTAACCCAGGGATGTCACTGCTAGGACTAGAGAGGAAAATAAACTACACTCAAAGATTTTCTCCAAAGCATTGTAAATAACAGAGAAGGGGGATCTGAAAGTGATTTAAATGTCCAACAATTAAGAAATGATTCCATAAATTACAGGACAGGATGGAATATTGCTTAACCATTAAAATGATGCTTTCTACATGAGATTTCAAATAATATGGAAAAATGCTTACTTTATAGCATCATGTGTATGTTCTCTCTCTCTCTGTCAAGTGAAAAAGACAATATAAAGCACCAAAATATTAATGCTCGTTATCTCTGAGTAGTAGGATTATGAGATTTTTTTTATAATTATTAGTGTTTTTAAAACTTCCCATCATAAGAGTACACTTAATCTACTCATCAGAATAAGATCCACAAATATAAAATACAGCTTCTACTCTGAATTAGGATCTTCAAATAATGACTAATCGGTAAGCCTTCAAAAGATAGTAACTAGGGAAAACAAGTAAATATCTTTTTGTCTCCCTAACCTACACCACTCTTTTCTCATACCACTCCTTCTAACCCTTTTATTTCTACTTTCTTCACATCAGCTCTGCCATAACCAGAGATATTAAGACATAATTATCCAATGTTTTCACAATTTTAAACTGTTCAGCTAAACAGTCCAATTTATCTTAGAATATATAAAAAGGAGATAAAATACCCTAATGGTTAAGAGAACAGACTTCAAAATCAGACAGATCTAGGTTTGAGTCTTAGTTTAGGGGAGCTCACAGAGGTTTCAATTTTATTATCTGTAAGTAGGAGTACCAACCCTCCTTCAGTGAACTGTTATGAGGATGAAATGAGAGGATGCATATAAAGCATAAGCTGGTAGTAGGCACTCAGAAGATAACTGCTATTACTATTTTATAGTTAATGTTAAAATTATTTTAGGTAAATAGCCCTCAAATTTTAATTTTCCTGTGGAAAAAAGCTTACTAAGGTACAATGGTTGCTCACAGTCATTTGGACTCCTCCATCCACTTCTATTTCAAAAACAATTTGGAAGCTGCCAAAATACTCTTTACAAAGTGGGTGTTACTAAAACCCACCAACAAATTTATCAATGCTATTATTTCATGAAAGAAGCAGCATTTGAACATCTGAAAAAGAAAGAAGAGAACAAAAAAGAAAAGAAAAGAAAAGAAAAGAAAAGAAAAGAAAAGAAAAGGAAAGAAAAAAGAAAAGGTCTGAAGATAGTCTTTGGGTAAAGGAAATCATTCCAAAGAAAGGACAGTGGGCAACTGCATCTCAAACTTATCCTTATGTTTTCCATTTTGTCACCTGCCAGTAAATACATAAAGACCAATACCAGTTTGCAAACGGACACTTGATGAAAGACACTCAACTTCCTAGCCTGATACTTCTCCATCCCATCCACATCATGGGATGTTCATTCAACAAACACTATCCAAACCTATTACTTGCTGTTAAGTAAAGGAATTCAAGATCAAAAGAGGTTAAGTATATGAAGTATAGTGAAAACACTATACACTATATGTATATTGTAAAGCACCATTAAATTATATAGTGTTGTCATTATAAAACCCCACAAATATTATAAATTAATTCCTAAAAGGAAAAACGATTTCCCACTCACGTTTTAATGTCTTAGTCATTTTCTATGTTCACGCTATCACAAGTGACATTTAAAATTCTTAGAATGAACATTTGCCATACTTTTTCTTTAGAAAATAGTCAAATTTGGGATCCCTGGGTGGCGCAGCAGTTTGGTGCCTGCCTTTGGCCCAGGACGTAATCCTGGAGATCCGGGATCAAATCCCACGTCGGGCTCCCGGTGCATGGAGCCTGCTTCTCCCTCTGCCTATGTCTCTGCCTCTCTCTCTCTCTGTGTGTGACTATCATAAATAAATAAAAATTAAAAAAAAGAAAGAAAAAGAAAATAGTCAAATTTGTGATATAGCTCATGACTCTGCCATTCTCTATCTTACAAAAATTGAGAATATTACTTTTCCCCAGAAAGTATGGCTTTCAAGGGAAAGTTATTAAGCTAGATATTGCCGCTATATTACCAGCATGCAGAATCTAAATTCTAAAGAAGACAATTTAATAGGATTTAAAATATAGGATCAGAGAGAGAAAATTTTATTTTCTTATTTTGGAAAGTGTTGTTGTAAGACTTTCCAAGTGTTAAAATTCACTGTCAAACACGATGACTGAGAAATAACAAGACACCAAATATAGAAATTATACAGTTTTATAATTTTCTCTGTTGCTTCTTAATTCACTGAAAATAATTTAATAATATAACATTTTTTTACGCATCTTCTTTGTTACTTTCTTCGGTTTCTACTTCTTTAGGCAACAATGGCTTGATCTTTAGTAATAAACCTTCACTTGTTGAAGTACGAAGGAAAGCTCGTACCACGAAAGGTCCTGGAAACAAAGAATCAACTTTTGTTTTATTTCATAGATATATAATGAGCAAACAGAAACATACAACAAACCTTTTAAAACTCATGTTATATTTTCTACTTGAAAAGTATTTATATAACTGAATTAATATTGTCAATTATAAAGATCATCTCATCTCTAAAGTAGAAGACTAACTGTATTGTAGCATATTAGAGTTTTATCATTAAAACTACATATTCTGTAATAATTCATTTCTCTCTTCCAGAAAATGACCACCCAGAATTTATTTTACTGCAGAGCTGAAAGTGAAGGGAGCAGGTGGTGTTATTTACATTTGATGGCCATATTCTAAATATTTATATGAAACAGTACTGATGCTACTTTGTGTTACTGAACATTTAGCACAATTCCTTAAAAATTAAATAGCTTTTCATAAGAACAATTAAGGCACTTCATTTAAATTGTCAAAAAAAAAAAAAGATGGGAGATAGTTCAAGATGACAGCTTAAGAAGATCCTTAACTCATCTCCTCCCACAGACACAATAAATTTACAACTAGATATGGAACAAATTCCTCGAAAAAGTCCTGAAGACTAGATGAGCAGCATCTCCACAACAAAGGATAAAAGGGCTGCACTGAGACACATGGGAAAGTCAGAGACAACACTCTGCAAAAACACCATCCCAGGCAAGGCGACCAACAATTAGGAAGGATCTCAAAAATACAGTACTTTTCCCTGAGGACCAAGGGCTTTGTCTCCCACACCAGGCATCCCAACCACTGTGTCCTGTATCAGAGAGATGAGCTCCCAAAATATATGAATTTGAAAACCAACAGTGCATTCAGAACCCCAGAACTGGGAAGAGCAGAGAACTTGCTCTTAAAGGGCTCACACACAAACTCACTCACTCCACAACTGGTGCAAAAGAAGCAGTTTGAGAAGTGTCTAGACCATATGTGAAGGAAACCCACTTATTATCTTAAAGCAACTGCTAGAATGCAGAAACCTATTGAGACTCTCTCTCTGGGGATGAAAGTGCAGGTTGAGGCCATTTTTGCAATATCATTTGACTTCGCTAATGCTAATGCTGGTAGAGTCATGTTGGCAATGCCACTCTAACCTACTAGTGCCACTGGGCATGCTCTGCCCCCACATGCCATAGCCACAGCACAGCTGGTGGTCAAGAGTCCCATGTACCACTACCTTGCTGTGTTGCAGTCAAATCACAACCAGCCAGGTGGCCAGCCCCAACCAAAAATACAGCCTGTTACACAGTCAGCCAGGTGAACCCCCACCCCCATTCCCTCATTCCTACCATGCCACAAATAGACAAGCACCCCACATACAGTTGGCAAGTGTGTGAAGTCCACACAGGGGATATCCCTTGAGCACATGGCTCCCTCCTACAGCTAAGCACCACAGAAAATCTTGTGCATGGCCAACAAATCTTGTTGCCTACAGAAGTAGAAACCAAAGAAAGTAACAAATCTACCACTCCCTCAAGTAATACATAGAAACACACAAAATCAGGCCAAATTTGGAGGTAAAGAAATATGTTCCAAATGAAAGAACAAGGAAAAACCTGAGAAAAAGACCTTAATGAAATAGAGATAAGTAATCTATCTGATAAAGAGATCAAAGTAATGGTCATAAAGATCCTCACTCAGAAGAATAAATAAACACAAGGAAAACTTCAACAAAGAGAGACAAAATATATGAAAGTACCAAACAAAAATCAGAGCTGAAGAATAAAATTACTGAATTGAAAAATACACTGGAAGGGTTCAATAGCACCTGGATGAAGAACATAGCAGCAACCTGTAAGATTCAACAATGGACTCACCCAGACAGGGAAACAAACAAACAAAAAAAGAATTTTAAATCGTGAAAATAGCTTAAGGAATACATAGGACAACACCAAGCAAAATAATATTCTCATTATAGGGGTTCCATAAAGAAAAGAAACAGGCAGAAAACTTATAACAAAGAAATAATAACTGAAAACCCTAACTTGAGGAAGGACATCAACATCCAAATCCAAGAAGGTCAGAAAGTTCCAAATAAGATAAAACCAAAGAGATTCACACCAAAACACATTAAAATTAAAATGTCAAAAGTTAAAAGTAGCAGGAAAAAAACAACTTGATACACACAAAGGAAACCCCATAAGGCTATCAGCAAATTTTTCAGAGGAAACTTTGAAGGCCAAGAGTAAAGGGCAGGACATATTCAAGGTGCTTAAAGGAAAAAACCTACAAGCAGGAATACTCTACCAAGCAAAATTATTCAAAATAGAAGGAGAGATAGAGTTTTTCAGATAAGTAAAAGCTAAAGGAGTTCATAATCACTAAACTAATCTTATTAAGAAATGTCAAAAGGACTTCTTTAAACTGAAATGAAATAGTACTAAAAATGACAAGAAAACATACTAAAGTAAAAAGAATCTCACTGGAAAATGTAAATATATTGTAAAAGTAGTGCATTTACTCACCTATATGGCTAGCATAAAAGTCAAAAGACAAAAGTAGTAAAACTAAAACTATAATAATTAGTTAAGGGATATATAAAATGAAAAAGTGTAAAATGTGACATAAAAACCATAAAATACAGAGGATGGAAAAAAACTGTAGATTTCCCAGGGTGCTGGGGTGGCTCAGTTAGTTAGGGATCTGCCTTTGGCTCAGGTCATGATCCTAGAGCACTGAGATCAAGTCCTGCATCAGGCTCCCTGCTCAGTAGGGAGTCTTCTACCTCTACCTTGCTCCCACTCATGCTTGCTCCCTCTCTCACTCTCTCTCTCAAATAAATAAAATCTTTAAAAAAAAAAAAAACAGAATTCTGGAATGAGTTTCAATTAAGTTGCTACCAATTGAAAACAAACTGTTATATACATAGAATGGTATATATGAACCCCATGGTAGCCACAAGGAAAAAAACCTATCACAAATATAAAAAGAAAATGAGAAAGGAATCTAAATATAACAATAAAGAAAACTATCAAATCAAAAGAGACAGAGGAACAACAAAAACACTCAGAAAACAATTAACAAAATGGCAATAAGCAGGGATGCCTGGGTAGCTCAGCGGTTAAGCATCTGCCTTTTTTTTTTTTGGTTTTTTTTTTTGTTTTTTTTTAGCATCTGCCTTTGGCTCAGGGCATGATCCTGGGATCTGGGATCGAGTCCCACATTGGGCTTCTTTAGGGAATCCTGCTGCTCCCTCTGCCTATGCCTCTCTGTGTCTCTCATGAATAAATAAATACAATCTTAAAAAAAAGGCAATAACTACACACCTATCAATAACTACTTTAAATGTAAATGGACTAAATCCTTCAATCAGAAGAGAGAGAGTGGCTGAATGGATTTAAAAACAAAAACAAAAAACAAGACTCATCTATACTCTGCCTACAAGAAACTAAGCTCAGAAGTAAAAACTGAGTAAAGGGATGGAAATAAGATATTCTATACAAATGGAAACAAACAAAAAGCTGGTGTAGCTAGGCTTATCCAACAAAATAGATTTTAAAACAGACTGTAGTAAAAGAAGGGCAAACTATATAATGATGAAAGGGTCAACCTGGCAAGAAGATATAGCATGTATAGGGATGCCTGGGTTTCTCAGCAGTTAAGCATCTGCCTTTGGCTCAGGGCATGATCCCGGAGTCCCAGGATCGAGTCCCACAACAGGCTCCCGAGGGAGCCTGCTTCTCCCTCTGCCTATGTCTCTGCCTTTCTCTGTCACGAATAAATAAAATCTAAAAAGAAAAGAAGATACAGCATGTGTAAATATCTATGCACCCAACATAAAAGCACCAAAATATATAAAACAAGATTATATATAAAAAAGATAAAGATTACACAAAAAACTGTTAGAACCAATAGACAAATTCAATACAGTGACAGGGTATAAAATGAATATACAAAAATCAGTTGTTTCTAGACATTAACAACAAAATATCACAAAGAGAAATTAAGGTAACAATCCCATTACAATCATATTGAAAAGAATAAAATACGTAGGAATAAATCTAATAAGGAAGGTGAAAGATTACACTGAACACTGTAAGACAGTAATAGAAGAAATTGAAGATGATACAAAGAAATAGATATTCCATGCACACGGATTAGAAGAATATTTTTAGAATGTACACTACCCAAAGCGATCTACAAATTAAATGCAATCTCTATCAGAATTTCAATGGTATTGTTCAGAAATAGAACAAATAACTCTAAAATTTGTATGGAACCACAAAATTTGTTTGGGTACCCTGAGTAGCCAAAACAATCCTAACAAAGAACAAAGCCAGGGCAGCCCGGGTTGCTCAGTGGTTTGGTGCCACCTGCAGCCCAGGGTGTCACCCTGGAGTCCCGGGATCGAGTCCCAGGTCAGGTTCCCTGCATGGAGCCTGCTTCTCCCTCTGCCTGTGTCGCTGCCTCTCTCTCTCTCTCTCTCTCTCTCTCTGTCTCTATGAATAATAAATAAATAAATCTTTAAAAAAATAAAATAAAATAGGATGGTATTGACATAAAAAGACATGGGAGGGGAGGGCAAGATGGTAGAGGAGTAAGTGCAACTCACTTGGCCCCACCAACAAACCTAGGTAACTTTCAAATCGTTCTGAAAACCTATGAATTCGATCTGAGATTTAAAGAGAGAACAGCTGGAACGCTTTAGAGAGAAGGGTTTTTGCTTCTAACAAGGTAGGAAGGCAGAAAAATAATAAAGAAGAATCAAGTGGGGGGGAGGAGCCAGGCTAAGGGAGGGCGGTGAGAGCCTCAGGGATAGGAGAACCCAGCCCCGGGGACACTGAAACTTGAAAAAATCCGCACCATTCTTCCCGGACTGACGAAAAGGCGCTCAGCAGGGAAACAGGAGCTCAGCAGGGAAATAGGGCAGAATTGCAGGAGGGGCAGTGGAGCTTACAGTTTCCCAGAGTCACTAATAGAGGAAGTGCGCCCGGGAGAGAGCGCACGCGCACACCATGGCTAATCTTGTTGAAGGGCTGGAGCCCGCACCGGG